TTCCCTAAGCAGGCACATGCGGATAGCAGCAGACATCCAAACCAAACCAAGAGCCCAATGCAAAATCCAGCCGTAAAGCATGAACATCCTGTAGAAACATTAACAGCATCTTCCTCCCACTGGTCAGCCTGGGACTCATTTAAGAGGAAGAAGAGCAAAATCAAGAAAACGATCTTAGCAACAAAAAGAATTCTTTAAACAAAGCCAAAGTAAATGCAGCTTCAGTGACCATAGGCTCCTCCTCTCCTAGGCATGTGAGACAAATTAACGTCAGTAAATACTTTAAAAGAATGCTGAATTTTCTAGGTAAAGTAACACATTGTAGAAGACAGCTAATTTCTCTAATCTGCTGCTATTTTGCATTTTTCTTTACTTTGTAAAACACCAGGATTCTACTTGGCTCACTGAAAATTTCAGTGGCTTATGGTTAAGGAGTATAGAATGATTTTTGTAGAAGATGCTATTTTTCTGTCTGTCCCGATTCCCACTTGCCCACCTCCGCTTCATGTGACATGGGTCCCCGGCCAGAGGGTTGGTCACATGACCTGAGCTAGCCTGAGTACCCCCATGCCCGGAACTCAGGTCCAGGGATGGGAATATGATCCACGCAAGACCAAAGTTTGGTTTTTCTGAGATTGAAACTGTCACTGGTTTCCTAGGCTGCCATAACACATTACCATAAACTGCATGGTTTAAAACGACAGGAATTTATTCTCTCACAGTTCTGGAGGTCAGAAATTCAAAATCAAGGTGTTGACGGGGCCGTGCTCCCTCTGAAGTCTCTGGGGAAGAATCTTTCCATGCCTCTTCCTGGTTTCTGGTGGTTACCCGCAACCCTTGGTAAACCTTGACTCACAGGTACATCTCTTTAATGTCTGCATTGGTCATCACATGGCCACCTTCCCTGTGTCTCTGGGCCTGTGTCGTCACCTGGGGTTCTCTCCGTCAGTCTCTGTGTCTCTTCTCTTTTTTAAGGACACCAGTCATATTGAATTAAGGGCCCACCCTACTCCAGTATGACCTCTTCTTAACTTGCATCTTAATTACACCTGAAAAGACACTATTTCCAAATAAGGCCACAATCATAGGTACCAGAGATAGGACTTCAACACATCTTTTTGGAGGACACAGTTCAATCCACAACACTAGGTGAGAGAGAGTCTCTCCCACTATGACTGCAAGCTCAAAGCCATGTAAGCCTGCCCACACACCTGAGAAGTAAGTAAACAGAACCAAGAGATGGAGAAATACAGAGAAAGGTAGGGTCCTAATGTTAATGAATCCCTATGCAGCTATATCTGAAGCCCAGTCCACCTCTTGGACTTCCTAGTAACATGACCCAAAATATTATTCTTGGGGCTGGCCTGGTGGCATAGTGGTTGGGCTCACGTGCTTCACTTTGGTATCCTGGGGTTTGCGGGTTCAGATCCTGGGAGCAGACCTACAAACCACTCATCAAGCCATGCTGTGGTGGCATTCCACATACAAAAAATAGAGGAAGATTGGCACACATGTTAGCTCAGGGCCAATCTTCCTCACCAAAAAAAAAAGCATTGTTCTTGTTTTAATGTATGTAGGTTGGGTTTCTGTCACTTACAACCAAGAGTTCTAATTAATATGTCTATCAGTGAATAATGCCATATAATGTGAATTCAAATAGTTCCCCATAATCTGGGTGGGAAAGAGCAAGTGAGATATATATGAAAAAGACTGGCCATGAGTTAATAACCACTGAAATTAAGTGATGAGAATACAGGAGCTTATTATTATACAATTATACTATTCTCTCTACTTTTACATATGTTAGAAATTTTCCAAAATAAAAAGTTAAACCAATTGTTATCAAAAAAAAAAAAAATTCATGCAGTATTCACACTTAAAGTCCAGCACAAATCACGGCAAACAAAAGAAGATAAAGCGCAGAATCATACATAAACCCAACAATAGCGGGCATCCACAGGGCATATTTGTAATACATGAAAATATCAGCACGAGTGTTCTTTGTGGCACTCATAGGGCTTTTGATACCAGATCTGAGTCTACTAGGGCTTGACAGGATCAGGTCTGGGATAACAGTGGCTGGCAAATGACCACCCCAAGCTATGCAGAGAAGGTCTGGCAACAGGCTTCTGCTCAAGGGGAAGCAATGGCGTGCACAGTGTACTACTGGAGGATTTCACCTTTCCTCCAGTTAATCACAATAAAGCTATTATCCATGGCTAGCAATAAAGCAGGGTGTGGCTGAGACAAAAGACAGGGTTACTTCTCTAAATGTGTACTGACAAGACCGTGGTCCTGACACAAAAATATATTTTACAGTTTATGAAACACCCGTGATTCTGTACTTTAATTTAGGCTAGAGTTGTCACCTCTTCTGGATCCTGCCTTCCTCTTGGATTAGAGGTTCTCAACCCCAGCTGCCCATCAGAATCACTTGGGATCTTAAAAGAATCTTGTTGCACAGGCTGCACTCCAGACCAATTAAATCACAGTCCCTAGGGGTGGGGCCCAGGTATCAGCGTTTCTAGAAGGCTTCTCAGTGATTCTAATGAGCAGCTAAGCCTGAGAAGCACTGCCTACATAGACCTAGATCCCTCAGGTGGTCACTCACTTTGCACATGTGCCTCACTTCTCTGGGCATCTCCTGCTGTTGGTCAGAGCAACCCCACTTGGTGACCTCCTCATGTGGGTAGATCGCAATCAAATCAGTACCTAGTTTCTTCCTCGTTGGAGTCTCTTCCTAGGGCTGCCATGACAAAATACCACAAACTGGGTGGCTTAAAACGACAGAAATTTATTCTCACAGTTCTGGAGGCTGGAAGTCCAAAAGTAAAGCACCGGCAGGCCACGCTCTCTCTGAAGGCTCTAGGCAAGGGTCTTTTCTTGCCTCTTCCAACCTCTGGTGGTTGCTGGCAATCCTCGGTGATCCTCGGTGTTACTTGGCTTGTGGACACATTACTCCAGTCTCTGTGACTGTATAGTCACTTGGCGTTCTCCCTGTATGTCTGTGTGTTTTCTCCTCTTCTTATAAGACCACCATTCCTACCGGATTAAGAGCCTACCCTACTCTAGCAGGATCTCAACTGTTTACATTTGCAATGATTCTATTTCCAAATAAGCTCACATTCTGAGGTTCCAAGAAGGATGCTATTCAACCCAGTGTACTCTTCCTCACCCACATGAAGCAAGTCTTAGACATTGTCTTCATCAGAATGCATGTAAGACCTTGCTAACTGGGAACACAATGCCGCTTTTAAAAGTTTTCATTTTGAAATCATTTTAGAGTTATAGAACAGCTGCAAAGATAGTACAGAGGGTTCTTGTATGCTCTTCACCCAGCCTCCTCTAATGTTAACATCTTATAAAACCACGGCACATTTATGAAAACTAAGAAATTGGGGCTGGCCCCATGGCCTAGCGGTTAAGTTTGGCATGCTCCGCTTTGGTGGCCCAAGTTCAGTTTCTGGGCATGGACCTACACCATGTGTTGGCAGCCATGTTGTGGTGGTGAGCCACATACAAAATAGAGCAACACTGGCAACAGATGTTAGCTCAAGGCCAATCTTCCTCAACAACAAAAAACTAAGAAATTAACACCAGTACAATACTTCTAACTAAACTCTACACTTTATGCATATTTCAGCAGGTATTCCACCAATAGCCTTTTTCTGTTCCAGGATCACATCAGGACACCACCTGGCATTTAACATCATGCTTTGAAGAATGAAAAGTGTTTGGACCAAGCTGTGATCTACAACATCAAAAATTCACTTCAGGCTTCCTTCCCTAGTTCACCCTCCAGTTTCTTAGCCACCTTCATTTTTGCATCCAACTGGCTCTATGTTTCATCTACTCATCTTTCTTGTTTGGATCTGATAGCCCAAATTTTTCAGTCAAGTTAGTTCTTAACAATTTTGAGGTCATAGGACCACTCTGAGAATCCACTAGAAGCTACAGACTCTCCTCTGAGAAAAATGCACAGACAAAAACAATTTTGCATCCAATTTCAGAGCAGACATCAATCCTCCCTTCTCCTCCCCGAGGGCTTCCACCTAGACAGGACCTTCCATAGTCTGGCTTCCCCAAGCATTGATTCTGTAATGAAATCAGCACAACTCACTATCAAGCTCTCTCCCAAGACAATTTCTCTAGATCCTGGACATAGCAGCAGTGTTCTGCACTCTGGGTTTTGACCAACACCAGCTGCCCCAGCCACTGCCTTGGGCTGAGGCTGGGCAGAGCTCTCCAGCTGGACACTGAGGACAGCTGGACTCTTTCTGGCCAACTTGGCTGTCAGTATTGAACCCTACAAGTTTTGCTTGATCCATCACCACTTTGGAGCCCACTTTCTCTGTGATGGGAAGAAATATTTCAGAACTTAACATTTCTAAGTCCAGAAGCCATGTTATCATCTAGGTTTCAACAAAGAAAGGTGACTCCAGGATCCAGAGCAGTACTGACAACTCCTACCAAAACTGGATCTTCTGCCATTTTGAAATGGCAGGAACCTTGGTCCCAGGGACAATGTCTGCCTACAACACTTCATCTTTGGAAATGGCGTGCAAGGTCCTCCACAGCGAAAGCCAAACAATTGTCAACCCTAAAACCCTACATGTTCTCTTAAGCCACCACACCAGCCCCTGTAGCAGGAACCAAGGAAAAGGGAACCTCCATGCCCACTCACTCCTGACAACCTTAATTTGAGCCTCTTGCTCCAACCTGTTCATTGAATGCTGTTCTGTCCCACTCGGTCTGCCATCCTCGGAGGCTGCTTGTTTCTATCAACACCTCATCCATCTGATTGATGGTCCAGGTGTCACCTGAGCTACCTACCTTTAGTAAAGACCCCTGCAGGCTCCCCTGTGCCCTGGGGTCACACTTTCGCCCGTATTGTCACTCTAGCCAGGATCAAGTCAATTCCTCCAAAATCAACCACAAGGCAACAGAGTTGGAGAAAAGACAAAAATTATTCCTATGGGCAGGGCTGGGTCTATTCTTACCTTCTGCAAATGGTTCCCATTCATAAAACCGGCCCATGAACGGCTTGTTGTTGTAGGATGCACACTGTACCTCCCGGATACTTCTACTGCTTTCTGGGCACACCTAATAAAGCAGACAGCAAAGAGCCAGTTAGTGTCCATTTCTTCTCGCAGCCACAGTCAAGGCCGAGGAGACCTCTCCAAGTTTATGTGCTAGCCCTCCTCTACCAAAAACAAGGTTTCTGAAAATTTGCTGATTGCCTACAACAAAAATTCAAAATGCAGATCCCAAGGCTTCATAGCACACGTTCTAAGTCAGAATCTTTGGAAAGACACTAAAATTTTAACAAGTCCCCCAGGTTGTTTTTGTACACCAAAATTTGAAAACCACTAACCTAAACCTTCTGCTCCTGACAAATAGGTCTGCTCCCCTCCCTCAAAGAGGTCATCCACTTCCATCTGTTTGACTTTGTTTGTGCCATTCCCACATGGGATAATATTCACAGCAAACCTGTACAGAGCCCTTAGCATGTGCAGGCACTGCTGTAAACATAGGATACATATTAACTCATTTAATCCTCACAACAAACAATGAGGTAAACATGCTAGTTTTGCAGGTTTTTCACAGACGAACAAACTGGGGTATGGAGGAGCCACACAGCCTGGGAGGGCAGAGGCTGGATTTAACTCCAAGAAGTCTGGTGCCCACCAGGCTGCATCTCAGCATCCTCCCTATCTTGTCTAAATTCTCTCCGCCATCTAACGCAGAAGCTCCCAGCCTTTGCATGCAAAAGAATCACTCAGAGATCTCATGGGAAATGCAAACGCCTGGATCCCTCCTCCAAGGGTTATTATTCAGAAAATCTGGGATGAGGTCCAGGAATCTGTATTTTATCAAATTATCCAGGTGATTCTGATACACTAGACTACTCAAAGAAAATATCCAGCTCCCTCTGGCTTATTTCTTTCTTATTTATAAATGGTAAATATGAGCAAAGTGTGACATAAAAAAAATAAATGTGAAATAAAATAAGATTAGAATCTCTCATTCAAATCGTGGATAAAGTATGGCCTAGCTTTTTTAAAGCTAGCTACACTCAGTTTAAGTGTGGGCTGTGTGTGCATGAATGTGTGTTTTAATAATCAGAAGGGAAAGGAATCTGGCCCCTTAAATATTAAAAGCCTTGTGTATAAGAAGTCTCTGGAACGAATGGCTAAGGAGATAGCTCAAAGTCTGAAGGATTTACAAAGAAATCTACTGTATGTATCAGAAACACCAGGTCTTCTGGAAGATGAGGGAACAGAGGGAGGAATAGAGCGAGATGGAAGAAAAAATGTCTCCTCTTGATAAAGGACAGTCTGGGGAGGCTGCTGGTACAAACACCAGGGTGGTCATAACCTTGCTGCAGCCTGAGCCAAACCATATGGAGCAGGAAGCCATATGAAATAGAATGTGATGGAAACTGGTGGGGATAAAAGGGCCAGGTGGACGGGCAGGGTGGGCTGAACTCTGACAACCAGTGAGAAGCTGACAAGCCAGGGAAGGCTGTCTCCAAGGGCGGTGGAAGCCAAGCTGCTAGCGTCCCTAAAGCCAGAACCAGGTAGGCTTCCAGCAATACCAGCTGTCTCCATGAAGGATTTGGGGTTAAGCTGCTTTTTACAACCCTTTGGCCAGAACCAGAGTTAGACTAGGATGTGATCAGTTGGGTGACTTGGGAGAAGGCACCAACCTTGCAATGAGAAAGACTTGCTAAGGAGCTTATTAAAAATACAGATTCTTTGGCCTCACCCCAGTGCGAGGGTGGGGAAACAGGCCCAGGAAGACATGGTTGAATTGCTCCCTCAGGTATTCTGGTGCCGCCAGCCAGGCACCAGACTGTGCAGCAGCAATGAAGAGCCACACCCAAGCCTCAATCTCACTCCAAATTCCTTAACACATAGCGTTCGAGCAGAAGAGAACCAAATCCAACCCCTTCAATTTATAGATGAGGAAACCGAGGACCGGAGAAGTGGCATCCCAAGGTCCCAAAGTGAGATAGGAAGAGAGCCCAGAGCACTGACCGCCCACCCGGCTATCATCAGAAACCAGAGATGAGCTGCTGGGTTGTAGGTTTTCATATGGAAACAGACCAGAACAAGCGGGCTAAATGTCCTGTTCCTCAATTAACCACACCTATGCAAAGCCAAGCTACAACGAGGCTTCAGCCAGAAGCCATGCTAATTAACCTGGTGGCAGTTACCAGAATTGGAAGCTGCAGACCACAAAAACTTGGCCAGTCTGCTTAATCTCTTTCTCTCCATCAGCAAAGTATTGCCTATTGGCCAGACCATGAACCAAAGCACCTTCAGAATCATTTTGAATTGCTCAATATTTGATGACATAAATGTATATTTCATGACATGGAAAGCAGTCCACAATCCATTAAGTGAAAAAAGTGTTAAAATCATTATCGGGGGGTGGTGTGGAGAGAGAGTTAAAAGTCTTATCTCTGGAAGGTGGGTTATAGATGTTTCTTTCCTCTTCATGATTAACTTTTGGTTTATTTGTATTGTCTAATTTTTCTGCAATAAATATGTAATATTTATATAATAGAAATTTATCAGTATTGAGCCCTTCCAAACCCATTTGGCCCTCAGCCAGCCTTGCATGTGCCTGTAGTTTATAAATCTACAGGGTGTTTTAATACCCCACTAACACCTGGCAGTCTTATTCCATCCATATGCATCTGCCAAGACAACCAGTCACCTGTGATGGGTCATTCAGGATACCCCATCCCGTCAACAAGTTCTTTTTTTTTTTAAGTCCAAATTATTTTGGAATCATTTTTCTTTTAAAGATTTAATTTTTTTCCTTTTTCTCCCCAAAGCCCCCCGTACATAGTTGTATATTCTTAGTTGTGGGTGCTTCCAGTTGTGGCATGTGGCATGCCGCCTCAGCTTGGTTTGATGAGCAGTGCCATGTCTGCGCTCAGGATTCAAACTGACGAAACACTGGGCCGCCTGCAGCAGAGCACGTGAACTTAACCACTCGGCCACGGGGCCAGCCCCAACAAGTTCTTTATATCTGAGCATGGCCCAGTTACCTCCTAAGGCACGAGGGCTTAATGTGGCATCAGACTCAGTGGGGAGTCAGGTGCTGAGGCAGCAAATCCATCTACAGTTGCCAGGAAGCAGCCCAGCCCGAGGCTGACTACGGTATCCAGCAAGGGAAGGTGCAGCAGAAGGTAACAAGGTGCCCTAGCAGATGGGCATGGCCCTGTGCATGACCCCGAGCAGGGACTCACATGAACCAGGCAAGCTGCCAGTTAGAGGTAGGGCACTACTTCCTGGGGAGGAGAGGGACCTGGCCAGAGAAGGGCAAAGCTCACAGGGCCCAGACATGGACGTGGGTTATTGAGGCAGAATTATGGTACAGGAGAGGAAGGCAGAAGCCTGGAGTGATGACGATGATGTTAAGAATAGCTAACTTTTATTGACACTTACTAAATGCCAGATACTCTACCACATGATTTATGTATGTTAGCTCATTTAATCTGCACAACTAATATACTCCTTTGTCACATGAAGAAGCCAAGGCAATGAAAAGTTAACTGAGCTGCCCAAGGTCACAGAGGGAGTGGCAAGCAGGATTTGAACCCAGACACTCTGGGTAGAACCTATGCCAGTAACTAGCATGCCATGAACCCCTTAAGATTGCGTGACAGCAAAGTCAATTTGCAATGGGTCCTCAGACAAGGAGGCCTTAACTCCTTCTTGCTTCCTGTCAGGAGAGGTCCTCAAGGCCAAGGTCAGACTTAGCGTCTGACGCCTGGTGAAGCAGCCCCAGCTGTAAGGAGCAGGGAACTGTGGACTGAGGATGAAAACCAAGCAGGGCTGGGGAAATTCTGTTTCATGTCTCTTTTGGAGATTACATCTGTTTGTGCTTGTCATACTATTATCAGTAGATGATCTCTCATTGTAACAGACTCTCTGAAGTGAAAACTTCCAGGTTTCAGATCATTTTACATTTGTTATATTTTAAGTGGGTTGTTTCCTGATGCCATAGACTGAGTCACCCTCACCTTATCAGTAATTGTCTCTATATTACACTGTGAATTGGCTTTGGGCAGATTTCCTGCAGACAGCTAATCCTTTCCGTGGGCACAGATTCTTGTAATTTTCAGGCCAGGAAACTGAGACAGGGAAAAAGCCATGTAGATAGAGATCAGGCTCACTCAGGATGGGGCCAGCAAAGACCGGAGCTTTATAGCCAAGAAATGCCCCTGGGAGATAATCTCCATCAAATGCTTCCCTTCCACCCCAAAGAGGGAGGGATGTTTCCACTGGTCTCTTATGGGAAGAGGAATAAAAATGTACTTTAATAGAATGAGCTGAGTCCTTATAATGCACTTCAGGCTCTATCCAAAGTTCCATCGAGACAATTGCCTGGGGTTGCTATGAGTCACAAAGAGTATTATGGAAACTCAGGCTGTTTCTAGTGACCCTGGTTAGTCTGAGATGACAAGTGCCAGTGCCTAACTTCACTGCTCAAGAGGCCACTGTTGGTGATCACACATTTACCTTTTGGCAATTAATTGCTTTCAATTCCCCAGGAGACTGAAGAGCATCATCCCCAATGAAGGAGGCAACAAGGAACATGACCCTGAAACCTGCCTGGGTCAGATACGCATTTTTTTTATCCTTTACATTACTTTGGCATCAATCAAAAGACCAGCTACCATAGCAACATATGATGTATTTAACATCACCACAGCGAAGAAATCTAAAAAAAGAAACCTAGAAAATGTCCCTGCACTGCCATGAGAAAGTGGCTATGTGACCTTGGGCAAAGCACTTTGCTTCTCTAAACCTAAGCGACTGCATTTCAGTAACAAACCCAGCACCACGTGCACTCCCCAAGGATTCTTGTGAGGATTAAATTAGTAAGACATTAAGGTTTCTAGCATGTAGTAATGTTTAATAAATGTCTCTGGATTCGTTTTCATTTAGCTGAATTGGAATCTAAATGAAAATGAATCCAGCAGACATCAAAACGAATCCAGCAGTTCCATAAGCTGTAAGTGCCCGAAAGGCAGGTGTTCTGAGCAAACATTCCCCTCGTTTCTCTTCTGCAGCTGGAAACAG